CCACCGCTCTGAGGGCTGGGTGGAAGGACAAACCTCGAAATAATAAAAACCTCAACTCCAAAGCTCAAGTTAAATTTGAGCCAGCTGAGGGAGTCCTTTTTTTACTACTAGTGATAATGTTATCATGTGTGTCCATTGCAGAAGAGTGACACACACACACACACACACACCACACTCACGAGCCGCGCTGGAAGCCGCCGCTCACCCCGACACTTCCTTCCAGCCGCGCGCAGGGTGAGCTGCGGGAATCAGGTCCAGTACTGATTTTCAAACCATGTTTTCACTTGGAACGTGAAACGCTTCCTCCGCCAGCCCATTCGTTCTGCAAAATCTCTTTTCACTTCCATGTTTGCAGCACACGCACACATAGGCTCACATGCGTGCACACACATGCACACACAGAGGGGTGGCAGCGGGTCCAACCCTCTCTCCCAGAAGCTTTGTGATCCACCCTTTGCCCGTTTGCTGGGCCTGGCTTGGGTCGGGTCAGAACAAGTGGGTAGTGGTGAGGAATCAGTTCTAGAACTATGGGGGGACCTGAAAATCCTCGGGGGGGCTGGTGTCCCGGCATCAAATGACCCAGCGTTGCAGCTGACCCCAGTCCATCGCCTGTGCGGTTTATATCATCTCTGAATTACTCAGAACAGGAGGGGAAGCGGAAGGAGGAAGAATCACGCTGCGTTCCCCTCACGCACCGACCCTGGCCAGGAGTGGGCCATTCTGTCCTGCGAACATGGACTCGTACTAAAATCTAATAAAATCCAGAGATTGGGGGATGTGGACAATATTTCTGTAGTAAATGTCCCCCCAGGATCAGGTCCTAGGCCGCTGTCCTGCCCCAGAGGACACCTTGAGTCCTGTTCCTAATAAGGCAGACTGTTCCCTCAGTTACTGGGAGGCAGGGTTCTGTGAGGTTCCCTCTAGGGATCCCCCTTTCTCCTGTAGATTCCGTTTGTTTCGTTTTGGTTTTGATTAGGGTGTTTGCAGTTCCAAGTGACTGCATCCTATTGGGAGTTGGTACCCGTGGATAACATTAATTCTTCTCTCTCCATCTGCTTCCCTGTCCCTCCATCTCTCGGTCTCCTTCCCTTTTGCAAAAGATATATCTCCCTGTCTCCTATTATCTATTAGATTCTAGCTTTTCTGTGTGTATTTGAGGCTCTAATACTGACCTGATAAAAATTTAAAACTCTTTAAAAGAATACACCATCACCGATTATCCGGGCTCCTCTTGCTGGCACCATTTTGTTATTGTTTGTTTGTTGGGGGGCGGTTGGTATTTGTGGGTTGTTTTTCCTTCCTTTTATAAGACAGGGTTTTGCTATGTAGCCCAGGCCTGGAACTCATTATGTAGCCCAGGCTGGCCTTGAGCTTACAGTGATCCTCCTGCCTCAGCCTCCTGAGTGCTGGGATGACAAATGTGCATCACCATACCTGGCTTGGTTTTGGTTTTCACTTTGCCTTTTACAAAGAGGCTGCAAAGAAGTTCCCGGGCCGGTCAGCATGTCCAGCCATGACTTCCCCAGGAGTGGAACAAGGGGCAAGGGGCAATCGGAGAGCTTTTGCTGGGGGGATGAGCTGAGACTCAGGGCTGAGAGAGAAGAGGGTTCCAGGTAGCGGGAATGCCACGGGCTAGGAGGCCAGGGTTAAAGAGGCGTTGGCTGGGAATAACCGGAAATGCCCACTGATGGCCTTAGATTTCTGGGCAGCAGGGCTGGGCAGAGCCCGTGCTCTTCTGTGTCTTCTCCACTGCCCCTGCCTCTGCCTCACCCCGTCCTAGGCACCCTTCACTCCTGGAGCCCAAATTCCTCTGCTCACAAGTCACCTGCAATCCACTCGGACCTCCTCCCTGGTTTCCGGTCTGCTGTCCACAGTTCTGTCCTGCCCTTAGCACCCTGCTGGCCAGCCCAGACTTCCGGTCACTGTCGCCCCTTCCTCTGGGGGGGGGGGGGACCTGAGCCCAGCGCATCAGAGGGAGCAGTGACAGCAAAGTCCACAGAACCACAGATGGCTCCCTCAAGAAGGCCGGGCCATGGCACGTTGCCAGGGGTGGGCCTCAGTGTCTTGGGTTTGGTACTCCTATTTCTCAGATTGCCAGTGCCCAGTCCTGTCCCCTCACCACCATCTGTCTACACCACCTTCCAAGGACTGGTATGGACAGGTAGGGCCAACTGAGGTACACACACACACACACACACACACACACACACCCATTTTCATCCATATTGGTGATTTCCATGGCAGGGGGCTGGCCACCTCCCGGTCTGTCCCTCAGGGCCCTAGTCCCAGCTGAGCAGGTTCAGGCTACCATGGGGCCTGGCCTGCTCCTGTGTTCAGAGGGACTGTGAAGCCTGGGGCCACCACCAATAGGACACTCCACCTGGAAATTAATCCAGGCGTTACCTGCCACTCTCCAACGTGGCCATCTACTTTAATACGAGGGCATTTTTAATACGAGTCCTCGGAGGATGGGCTCTCTGGATGGAGTCCCCAGTTCTCCACGCCCACCCAGTCCCCTCAGAGGGGAGGTCTCAGGGTGGTGCCTGGCCTGTGTCCCCTGCGTGACAACTGGAAGTGACAGGCAGCATTCACAGGGCCTTCCAGGCCACCATGTATGATTTGTATGGTGGGGATTTCAGCCCAGGATGCACCATGGGAAGGGGAAGGGGGACTTGGATGCCCCTCAAGTCACAGCAGGTGACAGCATCCCCTGCACCTGCCACACATCCCCCTGGTACCCACCCTGGTGCTGAGCACAGCCCCTGTCCTGCAGAAAATTCTGTTCCTATAGCCAGGGAAGGTGGCGTGGCTACAGGAGCCAGCACTGCTCTGTGAGCCTCCTCGCAGCGCCATCCCCTCCATGTGGGGACTGTCCTGTCACAGCCCAGGGGTCCTCACCAGGGCTTTGCAGCCTGCAGCCTGCTTCCTGTGCCCATGCCTGAGCCCTCTCTCCACAGCAGGGGTGTCAGGCCCACCTACCCCCTCCCCCGCTGCAGAGTGGCTGAAATCCTCACACTGGCTCGCTGTTTGGTTGGTTTCTTTTTTTGTTTTGTTCTTTTTTATCGGTTTGGTTGGTTTCTTAAGACAGGGTCTTGCCAAGCAGTTCAGGTTGACCTCGTGCGTAGCCCAGGCTGCTCTCAAACTCCACCAACCCTCCCGCCTCAGCCTCCTGAGTGCCAGGATTACAGGGCTGCACCACCACATCCAGCTGGCTTGGTTTTGTTTAGCAAACAAGGGGCATGCAAAGCAGCTCTGATCCCCATGCGCCTATGCACGCATGCGTGTGTGTGCGCGTGTGTGTTATGGTTGTGTAAGAGACCTGGCACCCCCAGCCCTTAGCACCTAGCCTTTGCTTCCTCCTGGCCCTGGAAACATGGCTGCCGACCAGTCCCCTGCCCTCTCAGGTGGCACTCTCCCCTGGGCTGGGAGGAGGCAGGGCAGGCATTGCCCCAAGGTATGACCCATGGTCAGAGGTCCCAGCCTCTGCATCAGTTCTGTCTTTCCCTGCCCCACAGGACACCAGCCCACCTGCCAGTGCAAATCCCCCGCACCCCACACTGGCCACGAAGGGCCTCTGCATGGGAGTGTAGGTCAGGGCCTGCTTAGCCTAACCGCAGTGAGGGGGGCGGGCAGGATCTGCCACCACCTCTAGCCCCTCCCCCAGTGACACCAGGTCTGCCCCAGAGAACATAACCAGAGGAAACAGCTCTGGGACTCAGTGGGCAGAAGGCTAAACTGAGGCTCAAAACACACAACCTCAGCTTAGGATCTGATCCAGACCCCAACTCTGACAGCCTTGCAGAGTCGCCATTAAACAAGCAGGCCCATGCATGAGTCCAGGGTGGCGTCGAAGTCCAAAGAGGAACCATCCTGGGATGAGGGTGTCCTTTGAAAACACCGCTCTCTCCGGGAGGGAGGAGCCCACCCTTTACAGTCCGGCCTCACTGGGCCTCAGTGGTGAGATCTGCCAGCCAGGACAAGGACACATCCCTTGCAGAAGGGACAATGAGGGGAAGCCCTGGGCCCAGCTCAGCCCCTGCAGGGGTTTCATTGAGACACAGCCATTGCCAGGAGATGATAATGGAGGTGAAGGAGGGGAAACCAGCCACGGAGAGCGGCAGGAACAGCCAAGGGGGCTTCCTGGAGGAGGTGGCCCTGGAGTGCGCCTTGTTTGAGGTGCAGGACTCCAAACAGGAACACCTGGCCCTGCATGCCACTCCACCTCAGTGCTCTCAGAATCCTCCGCCAGTCAAGGGCTGTCGTGTTCACCATGGTGCAGAGCAGCGGGCCTCTGCCCACCCAAAGCCACACAGTGAGCACGGCCGTGGCACCAGGCTGAGTTTAACCACACCAGCCAGGTTCTTTCTGCCATGGCTGGTAACACTCAGGGCGTAGGGTTTGGGGCGTGCATGGCTGACAACTTTGGGAGCTGGGGGTGTGATGGTTTTCCCGGCTCTTCCAGGCAGGCCTGATGTCCCCACGAGAGGTCTTGTAAGTCGTATGTGGTGGTGCACATGAGTGGTCCCAGCACTAAGACTGAGGCAGGAGGATCACAGTGAGTTCGAGGCCAGCCTGGGCCACAGAGCAAGATCTTGTCTCCAAAATGAAAACCAAAACTGAACTGAAACAAAAGAGACCCGGGAACTAGAGACAGAAGGTCCAGGGCAGAAGCGGACAGATGGGATGCTTTGGGCAGAAGGAGGGAGGAACCACAAACACAGGTGGCCTGGAGCCCACAGAGGCCTGCTGACACCTCAGTCCAGCTCAGGGTCACTTGGTCCTATAGCCCTCCGTGGCACCAGCCCAGCTTCACCTGAGTCTGACCGTCACACAGTCCCTAGCTCCTCGCAGCACTCACAGGCTGCCTATGTATGGACATTGCCCCCTGGTCCCAGGCTCCTCCATATCTGGGTAAAGCTCCCCTCCGTCCCTCCCTGGAGCCTCCTGTTGTGCCTTCTTGGGCCCAGAGGTGCTGAATAAATACCAGTCATAGGCCAACATGTCTGTCTTTATTTTTATTTACAGCGATTGAGAGGAGAAGGCCTCTGACAGTCGTGACCCTCCCTGCCCTTCTGGGAATTTCAGCTTTCTGAGCCCAGAGCACACTGAGCATATCAGAGGACAACTCCACCCTGGAGAGACCCGCAGGGCACCCACGCTTTGCAGCCAGAGTATCGATGGTCCAGGGGGAGACAGGGACCTGTCTAGGGTCACGTGATAATTTCAGGCATCCAAAATGAGTTCGAATCTCCCGCTGGGCGCTTCCTCAGGCAGATGGATGCCATGCTGAGGGTCAGGCAACACGGCCAGCCTGGGTCCGGGCGGCAGCCTCACTTGAGGCTGTGCTGGCTCTCACGGTGCCGCCGCAGGTCTACCTTGCGCTGGAAGCCCTTGGCACAGAGGTCGCAGGTGAAGGGCTTGAAGCCCGTGTGCTTGCGGCTATGCGTGATGAGGTTGGAGCTCTGGCTGAAGGCCTTGCCACACACCTGGCACTTGTGCGGCTTCTCACCTGGGGGCAGCGGCACAGCGGGGTCAGCGCGGCCTGGTGCCCTCCCACGCGCTCCACACCTGCCCTGGGCCACTGCACGGGATGACCACAACTCCCTGAGGACAGCGGGAGACAGATGGACCCCTCCCGCCGAGTCAGGCCCCTGTGCACCCACGGAGCCCACGGCTGGCGCAGCACCCCCATAGAGGGAGCTGGATTCGGGTGACAGCGAGGGGCGGATGAGGCAGCAAAGAGTGGACAAGCGCTGACCAAGCGCCTCCTCTCACCCGAAGAGCAGCAGGCCAACCTCCTCGCCCCTGTGGCCCCTGGGCCTGTCCCCTGCCCTGCGGCGGGGCAGCCACTCACCCGTGTGGATGTAGGTGTGCTTCTTCATGTCTGACTTTTGGTGGAAGCGTTTGCCACAGAACTGGCAGGGGTAGGGTCTGGTGTCCGAGTGGATGAGGAGGTGGGTGGACAGGGTGGACGAGCGTTTGAAGGCTTTGCCGCACATCCGGCACTCGAAGCTGCGCTCCTGCCGGAGGAAACGAGGCCCCGGGGGGTCAGGAGCAGGTGGGGCCTCGAGGCCCGGGAGAGCCAAGCTGGGCACGGGGCTGGACCCGGCCAGGATCCCCTGAGGAAGAGGACACTCTGTTGGGGCGGCCTCGAGGGCAGGGCCTGGAGGAGCAGGACTCAGGAGCCACCCCCAGTTCCTGCCTCCGGGTAGGACTGAGGCTCAGGGCCTGATGACCTCCTGGGGGGAGTTTTCACAGTACCCTTCTCCACATAATGACTACTGTTTGTTGACTGACTGATGGACTAACCCATCTGAGAGGTTTTACAGGAGTTTACATTTCATCACCACCCAGAGCGGGGTCCTCTGCTCTTCCCAGTCTTTCCCACTTACCAAGGTTTGGTGACCCACATCCCATCAGGGGCCCTTCCTGAAATGGGTACTGTGATGAGACTCCCTCACCACCACCCAACTCTGAGAGAGTCAAGGTCCTCAAAACCGAGGACACCTACCCGCCCACCCAGGGGCATCGCGTTTCTGAGCACTGCTCCCAGTTCCCACTGGGGCAGGAGCCTCTTCAATCACAGGCAAAGCCAAGTCTGTCTGTTGGAGACCCCAGAGGGCTAGCGGTGGGTGTTGGGGATCCGGCCCTGGGGAAGTGGGGACTGAGGGTCCCCTAAGCCTTGGGACCTCCCAGGCCTGGCCATGAAGCCCAGCCTCAGGCTCCCCGCAGGCAGTGCTCACCTGAGAGTGGACATGTGTGTGCTGCTCCAGGCTGACGGCGTGGCCAAAGGTCTTGCCGCAGACGTCACAGGCGAAGGGCCGAGTCCCACTGTGGGAGCGGCGGACGTGCACCTCCAGCCCATGCGGGGTGGAGAAGACCTGGACAGGGGCAGAACCTGAGCTGGGCAGGGGCAGCCTGCGGCCCCAGGTCTGGCTCCACACACCAGTAGCAGGGCAGGGACACTGCATTGCCACAGACTTCGGCTCTCTCACGGTGGGACCCAGGGGCGTCCCTGCCTCAGCTTTCTGTCTAGTGCAGGGTTAGGAGAGGGATCTGGACAGTCCTTCCTTGTCCCCTCTGCAGGCTGAGAGAGCCCAGAGCTGCCAGAGCCAGGCTTGAAGGCTGGCTCTGCGTCCCCTTGCTGTGTGGTCTTGTACGAGAGTCTTAACCTCTCTGAACCTCAGCTCTTTCTTTGCCCCTGGAGCTCAGGAGTGTCTGCCTAGCACAGGGCCAGGCACATGGACATGGTGCAGTGGCCGAGGAGGACAAAGGCTCCGAATCCAGCACCCTGGCAGGGGCAGGGTGCACCGAGCTGGGAAGGCCTGCGGCACGGCGGTACTGCGCTCACCTTGCTGCATTTGAGGCAGTGGTACGTGTCCATGCCTGGGGAGTAGCGCAGGCCAAAGTCCAGGGCCGGCTCGGTGCTGGGCAGCAGGGGGCTGCCGTACAGCCTCACGGCACGCTCCAGGAAGGCCGACTCGATGGTGGACGGCGTCTGCGGAAAGCTGTGGCCATAGGACGAGGCCAGGGCGTCCCAGGAGAAGCTGGGCTTGTAAAATGTGGGCGAGTCAGAGAGCGGCGAGTCACTGTCCTGCGGTCGGGAGGCCACCGTGGGCCCCTCTGCGGAGACAAAGACAAGTGTCCTACAAACAGGTCCCCTCCTGTCCAGCACCAATGCCACCCTGTCCTGGGCACACTGCTCCCAAGCTTGTACTCCCAAGCACTGCCATGGTGACCTTGTGTGAAGGCTGCAGGGTGATCCCAGACACCTACTGCTGGGAGGTCTGTCCCTCTGGAGGCCCCAAGGTTTTCCAGACTGCAAACCAGGGACCCTAGATGGCCTCTGGTGAGCCCAAGGGACCCTACTTCCTGCACGCATTTCCCCCCCTCTCCCTGGGTGATGGCTGGGACACTGGGCAGGTCCTGAGCTGGGCACCTACCTGGCACTGCAGCCGTCTTGGGCACGCTCTGGTCTGGCCCCAGCTCCGGCTCCTGCTTCACATGGTTCCAGCTGGAGTACAAGCTTGGGAGCAGCGTGCCCAGGACAGGGTCCCTGGCCCCTGTGAGGAAACAGGACCGCAGGGTCACCTGCCATGGTGTCTGGGAGAGCCTCAGGGAGCCGGGAGTCCAGAGGGAGGCCTAAGTGCTGCTGCTCCTGGACGCTCACACATGGGGCTCTGCCTGACCAGGCATGACGTGGGAGGACCTGGTGAGCACCTTGGACCACAGCCCTTGGTGGGGCCTCCAGCCAGGACCCCTCCTTCCATGTCAGTCCTGGCTCCAATCCCTGAAGGCCCCTAGCTGACAGGACCGTTGAAGACAAGGGCATCATTCATGCATGCATGCATTCATTCGTTCATGAGCTGCCGCTGCCAGGTTAGGAAAAGAAGCTCTACGGGAAGCTGAGGCAGGGAGGTACAGCAGGAATTCTGGCCTGGGCACCAACTCACCAGGGCTTGGGGCAGGAGACCAGAGCAGGTTCTCCTCCTTGGCGCGGGGCTGGTGGTAGGTGTGCGCCTTCTTGCTCTTCACCAGGAAGGAGCGCGGCATCCTCAGCTGTGTCTCCCTTCGGGGGAGACGGGTGGGAATGCTGAGAAGGACAAGAATAAATTTTAAAGGGGCTGGGGAGGTGGAGCTCAGGGGTTAAGCATCCCTGGATCCTGTCTCCAGTGCCGCAAAACAGAGAGACAAGCGGACGACATTCCTTGGAATCTCGGTCCCTCCTCCTGCCATCAGCCACACTCTGGGTGGGGTGAATCGTGTCCCCGGAAGTCCCTGTCTTCCTGGAACCTGTGGACACCACTTGATGGGCAGCAAAGCCTTTGTGGAGATGGAGCCACATAGAATGAGGCCACCGGGGGTGGGTGGGCTTTGCAGCCAGCACGACCAGTGGCCGGTAAGAAGACGGAAGCCCAGACCCCAGGACACACACGGGGAGGAGGCTGCTGGCTTTTACCATCTGAGGACCTCCAGGGGCCAGGGCAGCCCCCAGGAGCTGGGCGAGACCTTCAGGAGGGACCCAGCTTGCTGACCCCATGAGCCCATGACTGGGAGAAGACCACCTTCTGTGCTTTCCAAGCCACCCAACCTGTACTCGATCCTTGTGGCCCTTCCAAGCCCACCCTCTCTGAGTGGGAAGGGAGCCCAGCCACAGCTCCACCAGCCCAGAAGGAAGGGCCCCATGGGTCGGACCCCCGCCCCAGGGGACGGAGAGCATCTTCCACCTGCAAGCTGTGAGGGATAGCCCCACCCCCACCCATCAGTGCAGGGTGCAGGGGTGATAGGGCCCTTGGCGGGAGAGGGATTTCGGCTGCTTCTGAGCCACAGCCTGGGTGATAAGGCCTGGAGGAGCAGGCTGGGAGGAGGGAGATTAGAAAAGGCAGCCTGAGCCCTGCCTTCGGGACCTGGGCCACAGCCAGGAAGAAGGGGGCCTCATCCCGCCTGCCCCAGGCTAGAGCCCTGTGGGGCACCAAGAGCCTGGGCTGTGCTGGTGCATGGGGACCCCACTGGTCATGAACCTCTCATGGAGCCTTGGTGCCCATCACCTAAGCGGGGTCCTGACCCATGGCAGAGCTCCCGGGGCCTCTGTGTATTACAGAGAAGTGGGGCTCCATGTGGCAGCTGGGGGGCACCTCGCCACTGACCATGTGTGGGGGCCACTGTGGTGGTGGCATCTCTGGCCACCGGAGAGGTCCTGCAGGGGCCAGGAGGAAGTCCAGTATCATCCCATCCCCAATGCCCAGCCAATTGCAGCCACACTCAAAGGACAAACCAGCCCTGGATCAGGACCACCAAGGTTCCCAGGGAGCCGGGCACTTGTTTAAGACCCTCCATGCTCTGAGCTTGGAGCCCCTTCCTCTGTCAGACGCAGGGAGCCCAAGACCTTATCTTCTGGGACATCTCTTTCCTTGCCTGCCTCCCCGCCCCCACGGGCTCCCCACAACCTCTTCTTATAAACCCTGGTTTCAGGAACCCCCCAGGCAGGCCTGAGCCCGGGCCCAGCCTAGGACGCTATGTTTCCACATGTGCTGTTTCTTAGGAAATCAGCTAGAACCCAGGTTCTCGATTAAGTCTCTGGGGCAGAATGCACTCTGGCCCGTGGGTCACCTGGCAGAGCCCACTCAGTCCGCTTTGGAGGAAGGGCTGCTCACAGCCCAGGGCAGCCTGAGGCAGGCTGGGGCTCTGCCCTGGGTCATCAGATGGCGGGTGACGTCCACCCAGTGTCACTGCGTGCCCAACGTAGGCCAAGGTCTTCATGTGTTTCCCCACCAGAAGGCCCGAACAGGGTGCTGAAGATGGGTGCGGCAGCGCTCACAGCTCCCCAGGGCACAGCATGGGGCCAGGGGACCCCAGGAAAATGGAGGCTTCAAGAGCCTTGTCAAAGTCGTGGCACAGCCTGGTGCAGGCTCCTGCCTCGCTGGGATTTGAATCCTGGCCCACAGCTGCACCGCAGCGGGGAGAAGAGCAGCCTGCCCCGTGGGGAGAAGCGAGGCAACAGGGCAGAGACCTCCAAACCCGCCTCTCCTGGCTTCCGAAGTCCTTTCCAGATCCCTAAGGCTCCACCTGGGATCCTGGAGGGATGGGGAGGGGGGGCAACTTTCCCAACAGAGGAGAGCCCAAGTCAGTGGACGCGGACACAGCTCTCCTGCGTTCACTTTCACTCACTCAGGGCAAGGGCCCATTTCTGGGGTCCCCTGGGGGCGGAGGTGTCTCCCTGTGCCCTCATCCCTCCTCTTTCCTTCCCAGCATTTTTTATTCTCAGCCCAGCAAAGGGAAGGTGACACGGCCAAGCCCATGGCCAAGCCCCCAGGCGTCCAGTGGACTCACCCAGCGAACTTCCTTCTGGGCCTGTAAAACAGGAACCAATCACCTATCACGTAGTTAATTAACAACCGCTCAGTTTTGATTCACACGGAGGAGGACGGCTCTGAGAAGGAGCTGAGAGCAGAGATTGTGAAAGAAGCTCCGATTTCTTCATAAAACAGAGGCGCTGATGGTATCGGGGCTCCGGAAGGAGGCCCCGAGTTAACATCTCCCATAGTCCTCTGTGGAGATAGAAGGTCCCTGACCTGAGGCAGAATCTCGGCCAGCGCTTCCTGAAGGGACACAGTGCACGCTGGGGAGCATCCTGCACCCCGACTTCCAGGGGGAGCCGGCTCAGCAGGCTTTCAGGTTTCCTGAACAGGTGTGGCTCGTGCTACCCGTGGGATGAGCCTGATTTTGTGACCTGGAGCTCATGACCACATCGACCACTGACCTGGGTTTGGCTTCCCTATCTCTCAAAAGAGACGGTTAGGCTGAGAGATTTCTAAACTTCCCTTTTGCTTTAAAATCCCATGGAGAATTCGTTGATCTTCAGGGAGGGACTGACCCACCTTGACCAAGACCCTCGTCACGCGGGTTCCCTTTTCAGGAGGGTTGGGTAAGACGGGGTTGACTCAGGACCTGCTGCAGGGACCCTTTGGACTTCCCTGTGTTTAAAGACACTGCAGGAGAAACACACAAAGCTTCTCCACAGAGGCGCCGTGGGGAGGGGAGCCCGTATCATTGTAGCATAAAACCCCACGGGTAAAGTACGGACCCAACCTGTGGGCATAGTCCCTCACCAGTAAGAGCGGGATTTCTGAGAACGATTTGCACACCCACATTTGTAGCAGTGTGATTCACACTTGCCAAGAAGTGCAAGCCACACAGGGACTCTATCTAAGCAGATAAGCAAACGGTGGTTGTTCTGTCCTGTCCTGTCCTGTCCATAGAAGGGAAAGACATTGTAAGACGTGCAACAGGGTGAGTCTTGCGGACACTGTGAATAAACTACCCAGGAGAAGGACAGGCAATCTGGGACCCCCTATAGGAGCACCTAGAAGGGCAAATTCTGTAGATGCTGAGTGAATTCAAGGAGAGAAGAGAGGCAGGAAAGTTATTAATCGTAGCTGTGCAGTTTGGGTCCCATAAAGCAGCTCTGGGGACAGAGGGGGCGGTGACTTATTACCAAGCAGCACAAATGAAAAACAGTTAACGTGAGTTGGGCACGGTGGCGTGCACCTATAGTCCTGGCTATTTAGGAGGCTGAGGCAGGAGAACTGCTTGCACCCAGGAGTTTGGGGCGTGGATGGGGGTGGAGGGGTGGATTGGAACAGCACTGGCTTAGGGTGTATGAGGCCCTCGGTTCCATCCCCAGCACAGAAAAAAAAGGAAACACACAAGCTAAAATGGTCAGTTTTATCACAATAAGAATACTCAAACTACTTCCTGTCAGTCAGTCATAGATACCAGAGCAGCGGCTTCTGCTGCTCAGGATTCCTGGAAGGGAATAGCTGCAGAGCCTGTTTCCAGACAAGGGTGCCCCGTTCTGGAGTGTCTGGAAGGTTCTGGACGGTTCTCCCTCACTTAGGTTGCTTTCCAGACTGACCTGGGTTATCTGAGCTTCTAATCAAACCCTCCTCACCAGCCTTACCCTGGCCTCTGGAAGCGCTGGGTGTTTCTGGCTGATTCTACCATCAGATCCAAATCGGATCCAGCTCTCTCACATCCCCCAGGAACTTTCTGCAGGGAAACCAGCAAACCTGAGTGCTGGGAAGAGTTAGGAGCCCTCTCTCATCCAAAGAATTGCGTCTGAAGCCCCACCGCTGGGAAGTGGCCACTTTGTCAGGCTTGGAAACCTCCCTACAGGGCGCAGGTGCAGCTGAGCTGGCTTGTGAAGTGACAGCTACAGATTGTCACCTCATTTGTCCTCAAAGGTTTTGAAAAGTTGCAGACTTTCCCCCTCCCCCGAAAATGTCCTCAGGTGTATACCAACAGAAGCCCCACAAACTCCTCCTTAACAAACCCGCTATTACTAAGTGTCTCTCGCCATGCCAAAGATAAGCAGAAAAGACAGAGGACAGTCCCCAGGAAAGAGACCCCAGGTGGCAGCCCCCATTCCTGACCCAGCCCCATTCCCCCAGATGCCGCCGGGCAGCCTGGGCTTCTCCCCACAGTGGGCTCCGGAGAGGCAGGCACCTGACCCCCAAAGTGTCCAGGAAACTTCTCTGACGCCTGGCTGGAGCTGCGGGACCCTTGGGGATCTGTGCTATGAGGAATACCCCCAACTCAAACCCCGCAGCACCTGCGTGTGCCCTGCCCGGGTCGCTGGGACAGCGGGTGTGGGGGTGAATCCATGCTGTGGCCACTCTGTCTACTCAGAATCGAGGCTGGGAGATGTCTGACTCCTACCCAAGTGCAGGGCATCTCTACTCCTACCCAAGTGAGGGCAGGACTGTCCTCACCACCTCTCCCAGGGACAAAGCCGCGTCCTCAAAAGAACATTTGCCAGCCGGCTTTCTTCTTCCTCTAACTACAAAAGGAACAAGGCATCCCGCTCCCAAGAGCTGGCAGTGGGCCGTGCAAATTTCGAAAGAAAGGCGCCTCCTCTGCACTCACCTGCGGGGAGCTGTGCCCTGCCGAGCCCCTCTGGGGGTCCTCCTGGGGGAACCTCCAAGCGTCCTGACTGGGCCAACCGCTCTCGGTCAGCTTCGCAACTCCCTGCACAAGCAGATACTTCTCCTTTTCTCTCTCTCTCTCTGTGTCTCTATGGGGTTTTTTTCCCTCTCTTCTGTTCCCCTCCCTGATTTTCAATCTGATTATTTGTGTCAAAATCTGGCGGCGAGGCGGCGGCCAATGGAGAGGGCGCTCGAGGGCTGCATTTGCTTATCAAAACTTCCCAGCGCTGTGGCCGGCGCAGTGCTGACCCTGGGCCCACGGGGGAAGCTTCCTCCAGCAAAGTCCAGGAGCCGCTGGGTGGAAGGGCAGGAGGCAGGGGCTGCAGCGGTGCCTTTAAAATTAAATCGTTTGTGCGCAGTACCTGAGTTTGCGCGGAGAAACCGTCACTTTTGTTAGTTTCTTTTTCCTTTTCATTTCATGCTTGTCTCCTTCTGCACCCTTCTCGTCTCCTGTCTCTGCCTCTGCCCATCTCTCCCCCCTCTCCCCTCCCTTCCCTCCTCATTGGGCATCCCTAAGTTTAGCACTTGGACTCAGGGGCTGGGGACACCCTGGTTTGGGAACTGCTGCAGCCTGCTGAGCTAGTGAGCCCCTCTTGTCCTCACACTGGGCACGCCTGAGAAGAGCCACATTCTCCCGTCCTGAACACGACCGCAGCACAGGAGGTGCGGCAGAGTTTGGGACCCGCGTACAGATTGAGCGCAGGGTCCTGGGGCCAGCGTGGGCCGCCACCTGGTGGCAGCCTAGGGGATGAGATGGCCAATGTGAGCTCCGGGGAGTCCCGATGGCTCGCCAGGGCAAAGGTGGTGGGGCATTTCAACCGCTTGGCTCAGAGCCCGTCCCTAGATCCTCACTTTGCCTCCCCGCTCTGCCCGCCCCTCCTGCACTCGGGAAGAGCGGTTTATTTCAGGAGGTTTTGCATACACGGAGCAGCCCACAGGACAGCACTGTTAGCTGATTTGCATGGGCGCTGGCGAGATTACACTCCCCGCAGAAAGAAGCCAGCCCGGCGGCAGCAGGAAGCCCCGGCTGCAGCTGAAGGTCCAAGGTTCGAGGTGCAGGGAAAGGGGTGTTTCTGGCGTCACCTGTCTGCGGCTGGCCCAGCCCTGGAGCCCCAGCTGGGGGCCACGGCAGACATCTAGGGGTGAGGGGGTCTGGGAGAGATGGAGCGAGGCATCTGGCACGGTCTCCGGCAGTGAAGAGGAACTGTTGCAGGAAAGTTTACAAAAATAAAACCATTCTCAAAATCTCCCCGACTGGCCGAGTCTTCCTTTTCTGTGAGTTCTTGACCCCACAACACCCACAGATCTGCACCAGCCCTGGCGATCCACCTGTCATTCTCTGCTCACTTTGGGTCAGCACGTCCCAAACGCCCCTTGGCCCTCATCACTGCCCTTCATGGTTTTGTGTCTTGCAGCTTAGCTGACACCTTCTCCTTCAGGGGCGCATTTCCTTGGGGTGGTCTCTGATGTGAGACTTGTCTACGGCAGCCCTAAAGTCAGGATCACACTGTGGGGCGCCCACATTTGCTGCTTCAGTGACCGACCCAGGAACTCTTCCCAGAGCCCCTGAGATCCACTCTCTGGCACCCTTCAGCCTGGGATCCCCGGCCAGTCCCTGCCTGCCCTGCTCCTCTTCCCTTCTGATCTAACACATGTGGGGGAGCATCCACAGGGACCAGACCCTGGGTTCTGCCCAGTCCACAACCAAACGCCGCAGCATAGGTCACTGACAATCACAGGAATGCATTCCTTAGACTTCAGGGCGTCCAGGGTGCCGGCTGATCTGGGTCTTGCTCTCTGCTTCTTCGGAATCATGATGGCCTTCCCTGTGCCCCCGTGTGGCAGAAGGCGGCAGTGCTGTGTCCTGGGCGGCAGAATGGCAGGAGCAAGGCTCAGTCTCTCCCTCCATCCCTCCCACAGGGGCGCGGTTCATCCCGAAGCTCTGTCCCCTCCCAAAGTTGCCGTCTCTTAACGCTGTCGCCCTGAGTCTCGGTTCCAGGACACATTTTGCAAGGACGTTTTCAAACTGGAACAGACAGAAGCCCTCGTGAGCTCCCTCTGTGTCTAGAAGGAAGAGAGGACCCCCTAACTGTACACCTCGGGGTGACAAGCCCTGCCATCTGGAATGCAGCTGGAGCCGGGGGCTGTGGGGAGAGTTGGGGGGAAGGCCAGCACAAGAAGAGGCGTCCGAGTTGATGCCCATTCTGAGTTATCTGGGGACAGAGGCCAGGACTGCAGGAGACCTCAGTAGCCACCTTCAATGTGGGTAGAGTAAGGTGGACTCTAGAGAGGCGAGGGGCAGGGGGGGGTGGAGCACAGGAAGATTCCTCATGGCTTAGAAAGCCCCCTGGGGTCCCTTCGCCTGAACAAGGAAAACCTCAGCTTCAGAGAGAGCACTTGGGGTTTCTCTTTTCTTTCCCCTTCATTTCTTTCTTTCTTTTCTTTTTTTTTTGTACCAGGGATCAAACTCATGACCTCATGCTTACCAGGCAGGAGCTTATGACACTGAGCTAAGTCCCCGGTCCTCTACCTCTTATTCTGATAAGGAGGTTGGACCCAGGGCCTTCACACCCAGCTGTACCCCAACCCTTTTTTTATTTTCTGGATTTGAGACAGGGTTTTGTTAAGCCACTAAGTTGCCCAGGCTGGGCTCAAGCTTGCAAGTCTCTTACACCAGGTTCCCTTAGTTCCTTGGTTAGAGTTAGGGTTAGGGTTAGGGTTACTGGTGTGCACCCCCAAACCCAACTTGTACTCAGTGCTTTTCACAGTATCAGCTCTCTTTCAAATGACAGTGCTTCTTTAGCTGCAACTCTCAGAGATGCAACTTAAACTCACACAGTCACAATAACCAAACCTCTATTTCATGTCACTGAAAATTAGCAGCTTCAGGCATGGTTGGATCCAGGTGTTCAGGTGATATTGTCTGGAGTCCCTTTTGCTCTGGCCTCCACACATTTGCATTTGCCATCCTCTTTGCCTGAACAGCCTTAATGCTGGGTCTCCCCATGGCTGACTCCTTCTTGTCACTCATGTCTCAGCTGAAATATCACCCCTACAAAGCTACCTCCTCAACCATGGAAGCTTCAGGAAGATACCTAGGAATGACTCTGATTGGCTCAACCAGGTAACAAGCATATTGAAGCACCAATCATCGAGCTTGAGGGGAGGGATAGGAGCCTCTGTCTGACAGGGGCTGGGCATTTCCGGCCAGGACTACAGACTGGGCCAAGGATGCCAGCCACTTCTCTGGGGCAAGAACATGCTGGGTCTCTCTCAGCCAGCAGCAGACCTGAGTCGGCCTCAGTAAATGCCGACCTGGGGAAGTAAAGTCCGGGCTGGCAGGATGGGAAGCACCAGTAATGCACCCAGGTCTCCATGTGCAGTGTGTGGGGTGGGGGAGACCCCAGGCTGAACCTATCCCAACACACAGAGGCCCCTGGCACCTCTGTGTGACCTTGGACTCCTTGGTGACCTTGGGCACACTGACCCGAGGTTCAGAACGGTCAGGGAATGCAATAACCGTGCACCCCTGGGGCAGACCAGGGCTCCCTGCCTCTGCACACTGGTGCCATCTCCTCTGCGTGCATCTTGGCACTGGAAAGATGCCCCTCGCCGTGCCCTGCTAAGCTGGGGGCCATGGTGGGCAGCGGGCGGAGAAGTGGAGAAGTCATGGGAGGCTGGAGGGGCGCAGGCGGTAGGGCCGCAGGGAACCCCGGGCACATGCAGGCCAGGGCCCCCGGCCTCCCTTGCCCATGTCCCACTCCACACAGGCACTGCCACCACCTTCACCCCTCCCGCTGAGCAAAACCCCTGTTCCCTTGCCTAGAGTGATATCTGATGGGGCCCAGGAACATTCTGAAAACAGGGGCGACCCTGCAGTGAGCTTCTGGGCTGTGTCCACTTCCCAGGTGGCCAGGTCCTCAGGAGAGCAAGTAGGAGAGATGGCCTTGGGCAGTTGGGTGGGGGCCAGGGGTGCCGGGCCAGGCCAGGAGCAGGGAAGCCCTGTGACTCTGCTGGTTCCAGTCCCACAATCCTGGCACCCTCGAGCCCCATTTCCAGCTTCAGAGAAGAACAAGACCATCAAGGAGTCGGCCAGTTCCTTCTACTCCACGGGAGCCTCTCACCTGGTATCTTTTATGGAAATTGTAAGCTTCCGACCTGAGGAATGAAACCCTCTAGTCAGGCAGGATGGTAGTGCACATGCCGGTCATCCCAGCACTCTGGGAGGCTGAGGCAGGAGGATCACAGGTGGAGGCCACCCTGGGCAATTTAGTGACTTAGACCTTGTTTCAAAATAAAAAATAAAGAACGGCGGGGGCTGTAGCCCAGTGTGGGGCTCTGGGCTCAATCCCAATATCGAAATGACAAAAACTCAAGAGAAGTGAGCCCCCTCCCCTGGCTGCAGCCAAAGGCTTGCTGGAAGGCTTGTGCTCAGGGGGCTGGGGCTTTCCAGGTGGGGGACACAGGATAGGCCTGCAGTCCCCTGCAGGGAGGACTGCAGTCACAGGACACTGCAGGGTCCCACTTGCCCATCCCAGCAGGGCATCCTCCGCCTGGGGCAGGACTCCTTAAAACCCAAAGCATGCTGCGGCCCCTAGGCCATCCGCCTCAGCCCGAGAAGGGGCCACCTGGTGTGTGTGGGGGGGCCACAGCTTGAGTGGGCAGGACAGGGAAACCAGGCCTTCTCCCCCCCAGGAAGGGCCAAGGGGCAGGGGAGCCACCAAGGCTTCAGAAGGGGAAACTGAGGCCCCTTAGGGAGAGACTTATCTAGCTAGCAACTAATAAACAGCCAGGACTGAGGCCCTGACTTCTTGATCCTTCCCAGGCATTGAACGCCAGGCCTTCAGCTGAGCTCAACCCCAACCCCCCACATCCCCAACTCTTATTTTAAATTTTGAGGCAGGTTGCCCAGGTTGGAACAAATTCATAACTCTCCTGCTTCAGCCTCCCAGAGTACCAGGATCCAGGCGTGCACCACCACACCTGGCTTAGATATCTCATTTTACAAAATGCAAATTCTCGGTGACAGCAGGTCTGGTGACACTGATTCAGAAAGGGTGGAATAACAGCCCTCTTCTGGGACTCTTGCCCAGTTCTGACACCTGCCAGCTGCACTCCTGAGCCAGGAGCCACTGAGCCTCAGTCTTCCCACCTGTGAAATGGGCCGAGGGTGGCCCTTCTGGGAGGCAATGAATGAGACCATGCACACCAAAGCACGAGTGTTAACATGTGCTGTCCGTGTGTGAGTCACGTTCTCAGCTGGCCGCAGGCTGTCCCTT